TGTCTTTGGTGCAGATATATTTGTCAAGAATCATAAGGTACAACACTTAATGATAGTCATAGGGTACACATAAGCAATCAGGAAACAATATCAATATAAATCGTAAGGATACAAGCAATAAAGTTGAAATCTTACACATGACTATCTCGATCAGCCTAAGAAAAGGATTGCCATATATTCTCCAGATGTGTGGACTGGTAATGACAGGAGTCGAAATTCAACAGATACGGATTGTTAACGATTTCTATTAATGAGTAAAACGTCTTTGCCATGATTGCCTGCCAGAAAGCGCTCGATAGCTCCGGCTTCGGCACGCATGCCTGCCTGCCTGCCTGCCTGGATTGGCGAGAGACAGAGCCCTGGCTTGTCGGGAGATGTAGTTCGACAGCGTATATCGGGGAATGGACGCCGGCGCGCAGGGCGTGCCGGGAGTTGTAGGCTGAGTTCTCGCGATTGGGAAGCCTGTTGCTGCAACCCCAACTTGGAGCTTCTCTCTTTGGCCGGGATTGAGAAGCTGAAGGCGCGGCGAGTCGCTCGGAGTCGGTTGAGGTCAGTTCCGCTCCTTTGCCTGGCCCATCGCTCGGGGGTCCCGCGGAGACATTGGTGGCCTAGTGTGGGAGCAGCGCGGGGCGGCTCGGAAGCAGGTAAAAGAAAAGAACCAGCGGTTGGCAGGGCGAATCCGGGGTGGGAGGGCCCGCGTTTGGGGCAGAGACCGGGGAAGTGAAGTTGATTCTGTATTTGGGGACGAGAGGTTTGAGATAAAGCGAGGTGGGCGGGAGTAAGGGCAGGCGGGGTGAAAGAGTTTCCTTTCCTTTTTTATTGACAGTGTTTGTATAATTTATAGCCCCTTTCCAACCTCTCTTAGCGGCGGTAGATAGGAGTCCGTTGTAGGGGGTTTGAAACAGGCTGGAGGTGGGGAAACGCTATACCTGTTGAAGGATAGCCCGCAGTTCAAACCCAGGAGATGGTCATGGGTCACTTGGTGGTCATCTAGTCCAACCCCGCTCAAGCAAGAGACTCTACACCATTTCTGACAAATGGCAGTCCTATCTCTTCTTGAAAGTCTCAAGTGATGAAGCTCCCACAACTTCCGAANAAGATCTTGCCCCCACACCCACAAGTCCATCACATGGCCCAATCTCCCACTGCCATACTGGCAGTTCCACCCATCCAGTTCTGGTCAGGTGCAGAAGTGCAAAGACAAAGGATGACCTTGGCTTACTAGAAAGAATTTTGTTATGGCTACATAGCAATCCCCCCTCCCATTTTCCCACAATGGAAAATGCATAGTAGAATAATAGAAAGTGTGGCAGGCCAAAGATCCAAAAGAAAATATCGCTGGAGGCCTGACACCCTACTTATCTAGATGTTGGTTGCTGGAGCAGATGTAGTCTAGTCTTTTAGTTTCCTTCTTAGGTATTTTTTTACTGTCTCCTTTGACTGGTGTGTAAATGTGGTTTATCTCTATGTGTCTATTGATGGCCGAACAGGTAGCAAACCCCACACTCATTCACACTGAGGATGTTGGGTTGTTTGCAAACAAGAGAGCACCAAGGATTCCATAATGCTTAGCCTTGAGGGGGATAGTTTTCCTCCTCAAATGTTAAATAATCTGTTCCTCCCAAAATGCAAGTACTCCTGCACTGTCCTATCTGGCAAGCAAAATGTACACAGGGGGAGGATCAAAAGAGTCAAGATGGCAATGAACCCATGGAAACAAACCCTTTCCCCTGTTTACGCAATGCATGTGAAAGAGGGGAAGCGGTGCTATCCCGATAATGTGATTAAGCAGGCCACTTTCTCTAACCTGGGGCCCTAACAGGTTAGGACAGCATCTGGCAGAATTCCCAATGTTGTGGTTGAAACGGAGAAAGGCAGCCCGAGGGAAGGCTTTAAAACATAGCCTCATCTTCTCTTTTATCAATCTTTCCCATCAAAGCTAATTACATTCTGAGCCACGGTGACACAGTGGTTAGAGTGCAGTACTGCAGGGCTACTTCTGCTGACTGCCGGCTGCCTGCAATTTGGCAGTTCCAATCTCACCAGGCTCGAGGTTGACTCAGCCTCCCATCCATCCGAGGTGGGTAAAAGGCGGACCCAGATTCTTGGGGGCAAGAAGCTGACCCTGTAAACAGCTTAGAGAGGGCTGTAAAAGCACTGTAAAGCGGTATAAAAGTCTAAGGGGTATTGCTATCCTCCTTGGGATTACTCGGAAGCAAATTCCACTCAGCAAAGGCAGACCGTTTATCCCTTGCAGAAATATCTTGTGACTCACCCCACCCCAATTTTTAAAAAAGTATTTTTTTAAGTAGAGGAGAATTTAGGACAAGGGTTTATCAACCTCAGCGACTTTAAGAAGAGTGGACTTCCACTCCCAGAATTCCTCAGACAAGGTTGAGAAACATTAATATAGGATAACAAACCTCATCAGACAGCACTAAATGAGGGGAGCAAGGCTGCCAAAATCTTGCATGATTTCAGATTTGTGTGTGTGTGTGTGTGTAGAGAGAGAAGGAAAATAATATCCTTCCCTGATATAAGGCTCAGATGCTTTAAGGACAGGAGACATACTGGGGCTCCAGTTTTTGTGGCCAGGAAACCTAGGATGAGCTCAGCATGTATTTGGAAATTCCTTTGTCTATTCCTAACCTTTCCAACTGCGTCTTCTTCTCGGCGATCAATGCTTGGAGTTGTTGCTGTTGGGCCTCTCTTTGCTTTGCTATGGACTTCAATAAGTTACGGGCCCCGATTGCCTGCAAAAGAAGACAACTTTATTTTTTTTTTCAAAGTAAGTTTTTTTTTTTTTGCAATCCTTCTAAATGGAGCTAAAATTGTTAGGGGCGCTCCACCTCTAAAGAAATCTGTTGGTAAGCATCGATGTCTAGTATAGACCTGCTTTAAATGAGCCGAGCAGAAAGAGTTGATATTATCCCATGCCCGCATGACAAAATGACAGTATCTCTCTAGGCCAGTGATAGCAAACCTTTTTCTAAAGGTGTGACAAAACTGTGCGTGTGCGTACTATCGTGCTTGCGCATGTGCCCACCCACATGCGCATGTGCAAGTGACCCCCCCACCGCGCATGTGGGGGGGGGGATTTTTGCCCTCCCCACTCTCCTTCCCCAGGCTCCAGGAAAGCCTACAGAACCTGGGGAGGATGAAAACAGGCCCAATGGGCCAAAGGGAAGTTCGTTCCAAATTTCCAGTTGGGCCTGTTTTTCACCCTCTCTAGGCTCTGGAGGCTTTCCTGAAGCCTGGGGAGGGTGAAAACAGCCTCCCCCAGCCCTCCGGAAAGCTGAAAATCAGCTGGCCGGTGCACGCATGCGTGCCGGAGCTGAGGGCTACCGGAGGCTGCTGTGCCAGCAAATATGGCTCCGCGTGCCACAGGAGATTTTACAGTGCCATCGGTTCATCCTCATGGCTCTAAGCTGATCTTCTGATTTACAACCTGTCAGGTTCTCATTTTTAATTGTTCCCCCCATATTATTTTTTTAAAGTTAGCCAAAGCAGAGATCCTGTTGAGTGCAGAGATATTTAGAGAAAATGACTACTCATAGATCAGAAACGCTTTGACCCAAAACATTAACACCTCTTTTCTACTCAAAGGCATAAATACTTTTTTTTTTGAGGGGGGGCGGGGAGGGAAGAATGAGGGAGATTGTCCTTCAAATTAGCCTCCTTGGGAAATATTCCTTTATAAATGCTCCTTTACCTTGATCTTCTCATTTTCTGTGGCTTTTGCAAGCTGATCTACCAGTTCAATCAGGTTGCCCACTATTTTTTTAAATTCGGCAATTTCTGCAAAAAAGGAAGAAAGCAGTAAAAGAAAATGTTTACATCCAATATCATCAGACAAGGGGCCATAGAGTTAATATGGCGATTTCTATTATAATTTTTTTAGAGCACTAGGTCACAATTCTGCATTTGGAATCATTCAAGTGCCTCTGACCATTTGCCATCCACTCAAACAAGGACTTTTAGAAACACATAAATCTTCACCAATGCCCACAGACACAGATATACTCCTGCATACAGCCCTACCACAGGTGGTATTCAGCCATTTCTGACCGGTTCTGGCGAACTGGTAACGGAAATTTTGAGTAGTTTGGAGAACCAGCAAATACCACCCTTGGCTGGCTCCGCCCCCATCTATTCCCTGTCTCCCGAGTCCCAGCTGATTGGCTGGGTCTTCTTCTGTTGCCCTATGGGAAAGCCGGTTAGTGGGGTGGGAAAGGAATGGAGATTTTAGAGTATCCTTCCCCTGCCACACACCCCCAAGCCATGCCACGCCCACAGATCCAGTAGTAAAAAAATTTAAATCCCACCACTGACCTACACATCCAAACACATAATAGACAGATATCTCAAACAGATTATCTAAGAGGAAACTACCGTATTTTCTGGAGTATAAGACACACCATTTCCCAATCTTGGTGCGTCTTATAAACTGAATACAGCCATTTTTGGCCTCCCGAGACGCCCCACCCCCACCTCCCATTTTTGCAAAAAATGGGCCATTTTTTCCAAAAACAGAGGCGTTTTTGCCTTTCCCCAGCACCCAGGAGCACTCTGCAGGCTNAGTGTTATCATGTCTCCCCTGGTCCTTCTCTTCACTAGACTAGCCATGCCCAGTTTCTGTAACCATTCTTCGTATGTTTTAGCCTCCCCTCCCCTCAACATCTTTCTTTTTTCTGCTCTGCACTCTTTCCAGAGTCTCAACATCTTTTTATAGTGTGGTGACCAAAACTGCATGCAGTACTCTAGATGTGGTCTTACTAGGGCTTTATAGAGTGGTGTTGGTACCTCCCTTGATCTTGATTGTATCCCTCTGTTAATGCAACTTAGGACTGCATTGGCTTTTTTGGCTGCCGCTGCACACTGCTGGCTCATACATTGGGTATATTAAATCTTAAAATGAGATTAAATGAAACCTAGGGATTCTCCCCCACTCCTGGTCATAACTATCCTACCTTTGGTACACAGCCCCCAACATGCATTCAGAAGCAAGTGTGCTCCTTCGCTTGAAAACAGTTGGGCACACCCTTCCGTAAATATAGCCAGGATAGCAATAGACCTTAAGCTTATGTACCACTTTACGGTGCATTACATCCCTTTCTAAGCGGTTTTTACAGAGTCAGCATATTGCACCCATCAATTTTGGATCCTCATTTTACCCACCTCAGAAGAATGGAAGGCTGAGTCAACCTTGAGCCCGGTGGGATTTGAACTGGCAAATTGCAGTAAGGCGGCAGCGGTACTACACTCTAACCAATGCGCCACTGTGGCTCATGGGTGGTGTAGTAGTTAAAGCATTGGATCAGAACTGGAGGAGACTTGGGCTGAAGTCCAAACGCAACCCTGGAAGCGAGGGGGTGGTGATAACTCAGCCAGTTGTATCTGGCAGGGTTGAGGGAACTTTTTGGAGATTATAGGAAGGGAGCCTCCTGAAGGCTCCGGAGGGTGAAAAATGGACCTACGGGCAAACCGGAAGTTCATTCTCAAACTTCCGGTTTGCCCATAGGGCTATTTTTCGTGACCCGACAAATGCGCGCACGACAAAAGCTCACTGACAAAACTGCGGCGCTAAAACCGTGACGTCATCAATACGCCGAAAACAGCGCGCTGACAGAAGCGCGATTTAAGTTAAGGTTAGGGTTAGGGTCAGGGTTAGGGTTAGGTTTAGAGTGCGCTTCTGTCGGTGCGCTTCTGTCGGTGCGCTGTTGTCGGCGCTTCAGCGCTCATTCGTCGGCGCGGTTTAGAACTCGCGGTTTTGTCACCGCGGTTTCATTGGGCGCGCTTTTGTCGGTGAACCGCTATTTTTCACGCTTCAGGGAAGCCTCGGGGGGGGGGGGGCTGTTTTCGCCCTTCCCAGCCTCCTAGAAAGCCTCCGGAGACTGGGGAGCTAGCGAAAAATGGGTCCATCGCTTGCCAAAAGCAGGTGGGGGAGGGCAGGGGTCAAACACGCATGTGTGTGTGGGGGGGCACGTGCATAGCATTATGGGTGTGGGTACCCCCGCAAACAACCCCTCTGCACTCCCCGTGCTTTTGGCATGCGATGGGAAAAAGTTTAGCCCTCACTGCCCTATACTATTTCAGACAAATTCTTATCTGAATAGGTAAGATTAGTACGTGAATTTTGAAAAAAAATGTGGCCGGATTTTAGCAGCGTGATCTGCAAGAGCAGCAGAGCTAGCGAACTGGGAGCATAAACTTCAGCATGGTACCCATCTGCCACGGTGGTACAGTTTGTTAGAGTGCAGTACTGCAGGCTCGTCTGCTGCCTGCCGGCTGCCTGCAATTTGGCAGTTCAAATCTCACCAGGCTCAAGGTTGCCAGCCTTCCACCCTTCCAAGGTGGGTAAAATGAGGATGGGCTGACTCTGTAAACCGCTTAGTAAGGGGTGTAAAGCACTATAGAAGTCTTAAGTGTGATTGCTGTTGCTATCTGTTCCATATGGGGGCCACAGGAGAAGACAGCTACATCTGTGGCATATCTAGACTTGCGACCTAGAACTGCCCAGAATGCTTAGCCATGATATATGTTAAAGGCTGGCGCATTGGATTTAGATGGGTGAGAGCCAGGTTCAGGTTTACCCAAAGGGGCTCAGCCAAAGAAATTATTTGAATGTCCTGGGCTCTGCTTCTCTCGTTCAGCTGTCCTGCAGCAAGACAACAGGACCTCATCTGTTGCCAGATGAAAAATGTAATAAAACATTAATTCTCTTCCTGGCTGCTCTTCCTGCCCCATTGAAGCCAAGCTTGGAGTTGCAAAATTGCAAAATTAGATTATTATTTTTTCCCCACCAGAGGCTTGAAGCAGGATTTTCCATGGGAAGGAAAGGGCCCCATTGGATAAATGAGTGTTTCACTCTGAAAATGGCCCTGAGAAAGACTGAGTGCGTTGTGATATCTGGTAGAGAGGCGGTTCTTTTGTGAGCTGAGAGACAGAAGAAAGAAAGACTCCTTTGCTACCTTTTTAGAATTCTGTCTTACAAGGTAGTCCTCATTTAGCGACTGCCTTGCACGGCAGCCACTTACAGTTAGGATGGTGATGGAAAAAAGTAACTTTGGGGCCAACCCTTGCATTGACAATCTTTGCAAAAAAAAAAGCCAAGGAAACTTGAAGTAAAACGATAAAAAATAACAGTACTTCTCTTAACAACTGCTTCATTTAATGACCAATCCCAATTGCCACAAAACGAGGACTACCTATATTTATCAAGTTGAGAAAAGGACCCTAGCACACTCTAGCATCCTCGGTGTATCAAAATAGGACACAAAAATGGGAGGACCACTCATAAGTCAGTTTTTCCGGTACCGTTGTAAGTTTGAACGGACGCTAAATGAGTTGTAACCGGACTACCTGTGAATCCAGGGGGCTCCAGTTGTGGATGAAACCTCTGGCACCCTCGGTCGGCGTGGCCATTAGTGACAAGTGCAACACTCACATCTGTCTTTGCAACTCAAATCGAGCTATTTTTATGGCCATTTTCCAGTTCGGGTGACGTGCCATGGTCTTTCCTGAATGCCACCCAGTTGCCACTTGAGACAAGCTCAGGCTGGCCCCGTTGGAAGCAGAAACTTCTTGTGACGCTGGGTAGTTTATTACTTTTTATAAAAGGCAATTAAAAAGTTTTTTAAAAAAAACAAAGTTCAACCGGGAGGAAGGAAAGGAAACGGTCCTATTGTTTGAGAGAGGCTGAGTCAGACGCATTGCGTCATCCTTCAGGGCTGGAAACTACCCCCCCCTCCCCCCAATCTTCCTGCTTGCCCCTCTGAAATGCCTCGATCGAAGTCTGGACTTTGGTCTCCTCTCCCGAAGATAGTTTAAGGATTGCCTTGCTTGCGGATACGGCTTTAAACCACAGGTACCTCTTTTTCAACCTTCATTTCTCAAGATCATTTTTATATCCCAGGTACCCTCTTTAGTTAGATTGGTTAGATCCCATTAAATTAAGGCAAAGATTAATTGCCATATACAAGGGGATGGGGGGGAAACCTTGGTCTTCAATTGGAATGAGTACCCCTGTTGACCGTTTCCTGAACACAGGAGGTCTGATTATATTTTTCAGAGCTACATAACTTTCATGATTTGTTTTAAAAACTGACGTGGGGATCTATGTGTGATTATATATGTGTCCATTTTCTGTTTAAATCCACTTTTCCTATATTCTTCAATTAGAGAGAAGTTGACTCTTATCAAGTCAAGGGCTGGTCAGAGCGCCTTAAGAATTTGCCCTAAGTCTAGTACCTAAATGGCATCATATAACAGGGGTGGGGAACAATGGCCCCTTTAAGACTTGTGGACTTCAACTCCCAGAATTCCTGAGCCGGCCAGCATGGTTGCAATGTCCCAGGGTCGTGTGATCACCTTTTGTTAAGCAAAGTCAGTGGGGAAGCCAGATTCATTTAACAACTGCAGTGATTCACTTAACAACTAGATCGTAAAACGGAAGGAAGCTCACTTAACAATTGTCTCACATAACAAGAGAAATTTGGGGCTCAATTGTGCTTGTAAGTCGAGGACTACCTGTACAAGCTGCTCAAAAATCTTAAAAAATAATTTCCTGGAAACGCTGTCTGACCTGTTCTAAAGGGAACTTGAACCTCAACCAGCTCCCAGTTGTTTTCCTGATCCCCTCCGGAGATGTGTCATTGTGTACTAATAGATCTCTAGAGAATGCTCTGGTTCCAATAAATTAGAATTCTGGCTCTTATTTTGGGAGGAATGCTTCTGATCTCTTCTTACCACCTGCTAAACTATAACATGGCTTCATCGTTTTTTGGTGAAGAGTGTCCAGGCAAGAAGGTTGATAAAAACAGAATGTTAGGGTTCCAAGTAAGTCCCCCAAACGAAAGAAGACTCCGAGACTTGAAGTTTCTCAAAGTTCTATTTTGTTAGAGAAGCCATGTTGGCACATCTGGGAAAACCCGAATCTGAAAGCTTCCATGTTTTTCCCACCCAAGTGAAAATTCAAGTCCCTGCCCAGCCACCCACATGTCCGTCACGTGGTCCAATCAGGCCCCATGTCAGCCTCTACTTTGCTTGCTTGCTATCGGCTGCCATAGTAACGGGGAGGGTGGGGACATATGGTATTTGGGGGGAGGGTGAGTTGTTAAGTGCTGGAGGAGTTATCAGGAAGGGAGTTTTCTTCTCACCATCTTCTGCCATCCTGATGGCTCATCTTTGGACTTGGTCAAGGTCAACCATCTCTGCATACCAACTGAATGAGGCCACTTGAAGATGCACCCCACATGTCACCTTTGGGAGTTGCAGATTGGACATTGGGTTGGGGTAACTGGGGGGAAGGTCCTGGGTAAACGTTTGATATGTATATGTTCGCTCTTTTCTGCTTCAGATCTTGCTTTTCTTTAGCTGTTTTCGTTTCATATCCAGTAAAAGTACCTTTCTCTCTATTCAAATGGAGCTGGGGGTTTTCTTCCTTGGATACTGAATGAGGCACGCTTGACACCCCGCCCCAACTGGAGATGCCTCCCAGTCACACCCCTCAAGGTGCAGGGCAAGATGACCTTGACTCTCTGAGAAAGGAATGTTGTTATGACTATATAGAGCATGGGTCGTCAACCTGGTCCTTACCGCCCACTAGTGGGTGTTTCGGGATTCCAGGTGAGCGGTAGGGTCTTCAGAGGTTAAAACCTTCTTTTGAGTGAGTGGGCAGGCACGAGAGCGCACACATCAATAAACCAACGTGTGCGTGCACGCAAACAAGCAAACACGTGGGAAGAGGAAGGAGAGGAGTGGAAACTGATAGCAGGGACAGGCAGATAAGTTATCTTATAAAATAAAGCGGAGCAGAGCAGTTGCAAAACAGGAGAAAAAAAGTTATAGGCAGGAGAGAATTGTTGTTGGCTAATAATAATAAGTGGGCTAACTAGCTCAGCCTTACTTTTGCACATTGCCTTAAGGAAGGTAAAAAAAAGGAGATAAAACGGAAAAGATCCAAAAGAATAACAATAAAGGGAAGAAAAATAGAGAAAGGGGGATAACATAAAGGAGGAGAGT